GGGTGAAATGCTTTCTCTTTCTCTTGTAAAAAAATTGGTAACATCTGAGGTTGAAAGTACTAATAAACACCAAGAAGAACCAAGCAAATCTGTTTCTTGCAGTCAATCTTTCAATGAAGAAATGAGCATTAATGATTCTCCTCAAAATGTTACTCTGTCAAATTCTGTTCCTGCATCTTCTACTGTCTATGAACCTGGCCTTGGCGATGATGCTGACAAAGAACATGGCTCCAAGGTGGTGGCAAAGTCAAAGCGTAAAAGATCATCATTTAAAGGGAAGGTTGCAAGTTTCTTGTTTTCAATGAGTAAAAAATCAACCAAGAAAAAGTCTAGCCCATCTCAACCAAAAGACGAATCCGAATCGGCTGTCACCGAAACATCGACAACGCAAGTAAATTCACCTGGAGTCCTTGGAGATAATGTGTCTCAGAGCTTTAATGTTGGTGGATTTGAAGAATCTTTTGCAGCTAAATGTGAATCATTAGGCAAAAATTCAACAGATTCAGCCTCTAGTGAACAAGAAGACATGATTACACTAGAGGTAATAGCTAGCTACAATTGTTTTGCAAATTTCAACATATTATTCATTTAGTTCCTTATCCTTATGCAATTTTTCTATATTTTTGTGATTACTATTGTTAAGAAATGTGGTTGGGTCTAACTCAGCCTTATAAAACTGGTTGGTAGGGTGAGGATTGCACCCACTTATAAACACATGTTCAGGTCATATATTATTCGATGTGGGACTCTTAACACACCCCCTCACGTCCAGGACTAGACATTTGGAGTGTGAAAATAAATGTGGGTGGCTGATAGCGGAAACCATAGTAGGGGGTCCACCGGATCTTAAACGAAGCGCTTAATACCATGTTAAGAAATGTGGTTGGGTCTAACTCAACCCTACAAAACCGGTTGGTAGGGTGAGGATTGCGCCCACTTATAAACACATGTTCAGGCTATATATTATCCGACGTGGGACTATTAACAACTATTTAGGATCAATTTGAAATTTAACCTTTATTTAGGATCAATTTGAAATTTAACCTTTATTTAGGATCTTTTAGCAGATTGTTGTTTCAACTTGACTTGTTGAATAGCATCAACAGACAGTCCTTAATTGTGAAATCCCAAGTTTCCTATCTCTGTCTCTTCACTTCCTAACTACTAGAATTATTATATCCTTCAATGTGTGTTGGAATGGTGAAGCAAATGAATTTTGTTTTAATAAACATTCTTTGTGTACCTCAACATAATTAATAGAAGTAACTTTTCTTGGTCACCACATAGGCCTATATGCTAGGGAACTACCTCTTGAATATGTGTTTTTGGTGTAAAAGATACCATTGAAATATAAATTTATTGAAAGGTATTTTAAGAATGATATCATTAAATAGAGTGAAATTAATTAATATTTACTTATATTTTAGACCATCAAATTCCTAAACAATTTGGGCTGTCTGAATACACACTTTCCAAAACATTGAGGTTTTTTTAGTAGTTTATAATAGAAACATAGAGAAATGAAATCTTTGATTTGTTTGTTTTCACAGCCTGGATCAAGTGAGTCAAAGCTTGTGGTGCTAGAGGTTTCAGCCGAGAAACAGGATCAGCCTAGTCCAATCTCGGTGTTGGAATCTACATTTGAAGATTACAATACAGCTCATGAGTCCTTGCAATGCATGAAAAGTGCTCACATGGGTAATGCTTAGACCTTACCTCTGTCTTTATCAGTATCTTGCCATTCAAAGAAGCTTTTATTATATATAATTTAAATCTTAAACTTTTCGCCACTATTTATAAAAAAAAAATATTTACAGTGTCAATCAATCACAATCGTCAGATCATTATAATATATGATTTTATCCTCTTTTTTTTTGAAGTCACATATATGATTGGTTGTGGTTGACGACGGTGTAGATTTTTTTTATGTATCTAAATTAAACTCTATTATTATTATTATTATCATCATCTGAATGTCGGTTATTCTATATGTATAGAATCGCCGGAGCCTCTGAAGTCGAATTTAATTGACAAATCCCCACCTATAGAATCAGTAGCTAGGACCCTATCATGGGATGATGATTCTTGTGGAGAGTTAACAAGTCATTATTATCATCCATTGAAACCGCTAAGGACTTCTTCCTTAGAGACCAAGTTAGAGGAACATGAATGGCTTCTCTTGGTCCAAAAGCTATTATCAGCATCTGGACTTGATGATGATGATGATCAAGAACAACAGTATGACTCATTTCACACAAGATTTCACTCCCTTGAAAGCCCATTGGACCCATCATTGAGGGACACATATGCCAACTTAAATGACAAGAAGGACAATACTCAGCCTCTTAATGAGGCTAAGAGAAGGAAAATGAGATCAAATCAAAAACTTATATTTGATTGCGTTAATGCTGCACTATTGGAAGTTGTTAGTTGTGATGATGGGTCAGAGAATTACTTCAAGATGTACTGTGGGACCAACAGAAGGACCTTCCAGTTACAAGAGGGATCATCTTTGATGGACCACATTGTGGCCTATATGAAGGAATTAATAGCAAATGGGATGAGGTTTGTTTGGGGTGGGGACAGTCACAGCCTGGTTGTAGAAAATGTTGTTAGGAAAGAGGTTGTGCATGTTGGGTTGGTTGAGGTAATGAGAATGGAGATTGAAGCTTTGGGGAGGGAAATAGAAGAAACTCTCATAGAAGAACTTGTGGAGAATCTTGTGCTTGATATTACAAGCAGATGAGAGTTTTTTTTCCATTGTCAATATCAGAAACTAGTGTCAGTATAGCGCCATTTCACAACACTGTACTTATTAGTGAATCGCGAATAACAGTGATTTGTTTCAATTCTGCTATGCGATAGCGCTATAGTGCCGCTATTTGACAACACTTGTTTTATGCTTGTAATTTTAAATAACTAAATAAGTATTGATGTTATGTAACTCTATTATTCTTGCATTTGTTATGTATCTACATGGCCCTATTCACCTAATTTATTAAGTGCTACTAAAGTAACTTGTACTCTCTTGATATTAATTAGCTATGCAAAGCTAATGTACATTGGTACAGCAACAGAGAAAAAATGTTTCCTCCATTTCCAGTGAGACCACAATCTATAATTCACTGTCATAAGTCACAGTTTGTATTAGTGCTATGATAATTTAGCCATGACATAAGCCATCAGTACAATTAATATGCAGCATGCGTGGTGGATCCACCATAAATATTATGTTCTTGCAACATCTTGTTGGCTATCATTAAACCATGATTCATGATCATGATGATTGGAATGATGGTAGCTGCTATGTAAACTAAGCAATGGTTCATACTAAACCACAAAATACATCATTCTTTGTAGAGATGATAGAGTTTTCTTGATCAATATATCTATCCATGCAAACCTTTTTGGGATAGAAGATAACTAGTTGAAGTAGTTTACTCAGTATAAAATGTGTAGTATTATTTTTTTCAGCTAGAATTCATCAGAATGAGACTGTCCAACCATAACACACATGGGGTGTCTGTCAAGAAATGAAAAGTTTGTGGTCCATGAAATGAAACACATTGATACTGCTACAAATTTCTTTCATCTCTTGTCATATACTATCTAGGAAGAGTATTTTAGGGACTAGAAAAGATTATTTGAAAGAATGTTAGGAAGTTGAAAAGTAGTTCTATCATAAATAGCAATTTCTAGTCCTCAAATCTTATTTGAAAGAATGTTAGTAACTTGAAAACTACTTCTAATATAAATAGCAATTTACTAGTCCACATATCTTAAATCAACTGTCAAAAATTGATATTGTTAGGTTAGACGTCAATATCAGAGTTCGAACTCTAACTCTCACGGTTGTGAGTTTTTAATAGTTATTATCACTTTGTCTACAAATAAATAAAAAATGTTTGTTTCTATCTCTCTCCTATCTTCTACACTTTATATACACTATTTAATATCAATTTTTTTAATGTATAAACATCATTTCTCTTTCGGAGAAGATGTTAAGTTTTTTCTCTTACAACCTCATAACTTGAGGAACATGGGAGAGAAAAGCATAAGTAATGAGAACCTTACACACATAGTAACTCTTTGCAGCCTGAAGACGCTATAGTAAAAAGGGTCAAATGTTTTTCAAGTGGATAAAAGTACGAGAAAATTCCTCAACAGCAATTTGACAGAAAATTTCTAACTGCACTAGAAGCCAAAGTTATGGAATAACTTAAAGATTGGAGAACAAACAAAGATCATGTGATGGCATTGTGGATAGTTTTCCACAGGAAGTCAAGATCTGTTACTTCAGTTCAGTCCATCCTTGAGATCCTAAATTGCAGGTGAATCTCAGTTTCTCACATATTTAACATCATACTGTATTATTGCAGGGAGAGACATAAATTATCATTTTCTCCATTAAAGAAAAAGAAACTTTTGCATGTGCTTAAACCGTGAATTATTCATTTTTTAAATAAATAAAAGAGTTTGACCCTGTTCTAATGGTTGGTGTCATAGTCTGACATACTATAATAATTTTCATTTGGGTTGCGATAAGTTTACCGTAATATTAAATTTTCTTAATAAAAAATAATATTAATCTACTAGTATATTACTTTAGCCTCAAGGATCCACCTTTAAACTTTTAAAACAAAAATATCATGCACAAAGCAGGTGTTGACAACAGCACATATTCTTACAATCCAGAAACATTTAACCAAATATTTGAATCCTCTACAAGTTTTGCTATCCACACTGCAACATTCAACAACACCAATCAAGCTTTACCAAACTATGTCTAGCACTGACATTTTCTTGAGAGAAAAACAAAATTGATGGCTGGCAAATGTAAGAATTAGCATTTAGTATCCTCGGCTTTAACCAAAGGAAGGAGAGGTGTGTTTTTGGAGTATATGAAAAAAGAAACATTTAAACAAAAGATATACATATGTACTAAAACATCGACACATCACTGAATTGCTTGACCACTAGTAGCACCCATTGCTTAGAACTCACGCTTCATAGCTGTTCTTGTCGCCATTGTTTAATCCATACTGCAAACATGAAATGATAATACCAATGTTACTAATGTTAAATAACACCAATGCAACCGAGCAGAATTCGTAACCTACTACAGAAATAGTAGTGTATAAAAACGTCCACTGATCTGTGCAAAAGATTTGTTTATCCATTCTGTTATGAATCATATTAGAATAATTGATATTCAAAGATATCAAAATAACTTCAAAGTTTTGGTAGTTTTATAGTTGATATTAAAAGCTCATCCTCCCTTTTGACAAACTCTTGACGAAATTACGCATTATTTTCTTATCATTAAAAGGCATAAACTTCATAATGATTATAACAATTTAGACCTCAGAGTAGTGTATACCTTCTCTCTCATCCGTGAGCTCCAAATATCAGAGTGGTTTCCCCCCGAAGTTTGGCCAGACTGAGGATTTAGTAGGGGCTCCCTACTTCTACCCCTAACATCATATTCGTCCTCATCATCAAAATCTTCTCTTCGAGTAGAAACTGAGGCTCGCAAAATTAATGCTATAAGTAGAGATAATGCCTGAGGTTGAAAAAATAAAATTGTAATTATAGCAAAGGATGAAAAAGGAAACCCAGATAATGCTTCACATTCATGCTGTGCAATTATTATAAGATTCTTTAGGATGTTAATTAAAACCATTGTCATGGTAGTAGAAGCAATATACTGGAAATCTAAAACAAAAAGTCATAGCAATCTCGTGGTGTCCTTGTAACTTGTAACAAGTAACAACACAGACAGAAATGAAGATACCTGAACTACAAGAACAGCAATGCCAACCCATCTACATATCTCTTGATTATCTTCAATGAAAGATCGAAGGCTCTCAAGTTGACCGGTTGGCTCAAACGGAAGATCCTATAAAGGCCATAATCAACATACGATAGTCATTAGAAAAAGGCATAGATGATAACTAATACAACCGTGTTTATCAAGAGAGTATGGGGTGATGAATGTATGAACCTCTTGCCATTGATGATCAATTGCAATGAATCCCACTAAAGCAGCCTCAAGTAGAACAAGCACGGTGATGAGTAGAGTGTACTAGCATTTTCAAAAGGTCAAGGAATGAAAAGGAAAATTGGAACAAGAAAATAATCAGAAGTGAAGCAGGATTTACTTTCCAAGTATACAACACAATAATTTTCCCAACATTAATAGATTGACAAAACTAAGATATGAAAATAAATATAACTCGCTCTAAGTAGGATACAAAACACAGGCAGCAACCATTAATAATCTCAGCTGCAACACAGCCAAAGAACGAAATGCAGCACACCAATATTCCCACACCCATGAAAGCATACATGAACCTATTATCATCAAGTGAAAAATATGGTTAGCATAGAACAAAATTTAAACACCAAATAAATAACCCTCAAAAACAAATTCACAAAGAAGCAATGCAGATTAATTAATAATTCATATTGACACCCCCATTTCAGTAGAGATACTCAATGTAGTCAAGGACAAGATCTTAAGTTGGATCGGTCAGCTTGTGAAAGATCGTAAAACTCAAATAGTTAGCACGGCTCGTAAGATCCTCCTACCAAAGGGGAAAATGGTAATTTCATACATATATATTCATTCAAACACATGAAAATCATGATACAGACCCAAAACAAAAGCCCAACACATTTTCTTTTTTTTACGATCTTGCTTGAGAAAGTTCGATCTCTGATCGTAGCACTCTCAAGCATCCTTAGCACTTACGATCTTACAATCTTACAATCCAACACTCAATCTTGACTACACTGGAGATACTACAAGCTAATTATAATTAAATTGGTAAACCAAAATATTCTATGCGTGCAACTGCGAAGACTAACCCCTCAAGCTACAACCACCAAACATAGAACCCTAAACCACTTGCTTGAAGAATCCAAGCCCCTTCCACTCAAATCAACCCATATTGGTAAATTGGTAACAATTTAACTGTAACCTTCATAATTAAATCTCCCAATTCACAAAAGAGAATTAAAGCAAAAATTAAAAATAGAAACACAAAAGTTGAATTTCATTTGAGAATTACTCCTCCTAGCCCCTAGCATGAAAGTAGTTGATTGATAGTACTATTAAAAAATAATAATTTAATAAAGCATTTATTACACCTGATAATACCCAAATCATAAAAACAAAAATCATTTCATTTATTACTACTACCATCACAATCACAACAACCAGTCAGAACAACAATAACAACATCAATAAATCTCTAAAAACAAAAATTGAAAGAAAAACTGACCAAGGAGCGGGAAGGTTGATATCAGAAACGAAATGAGGCGAAAGGGAACGAGGAAGGGAAATTGAAAATTGGGGAAATGGTGGTTGAGGAGAGTAATGATCCCATTGATTGAGCATCCATATGGAATAGAGAAGAATCGAAACTCCAACAAATGCTTGAAGGAAATTCAGAAATTTGAGAACGAAAGCTAACGAAAAATGGCAACAATTAGGTCGCATGTTAGGGTTCTTGTTCTTAGCTTCTTTTTTTTCCCTTTCTGAATTTTGATTTAGAAACAATTTTTCAGATCTTAGAAATCACAATTTCTATATTACCCTAATTATTTTTCCGTTTGCTTTTTTGTTTAACTTTTTTTCTTTTTGACGATATGCTTTTATTTAACTTTTTCTATAAAGAAGTTTTTTTTTTGTTTCTATAAATAACATCTCTTTATAAATATATGAAAAAATGGTTAGAAATGTTTGGAAAAAATAATAAATAAATAATGCAAAAGAATGCGTTAAAGTTGAGAGTATTACAATACAAAAGAGGAACTTGCGGCGTGAAGAACCATCATTTGAGTTTGCTTCTGATTTAAGGGATTTAGAAAATGTGGTTTTCGTTTTTGCTACAGCAATATTTGCAAGAGTGGTAATAAACTATTCCAAATTGTTTTATTTCATTTTTTATTTTTTTAATGACACGTAAAATTTAATTTGATAAAATATTTTGAGAAAAATCACTATTTTGAATCAATGTTTGGTTTTTCTATTAAGAGCAACTTTAATGCATAGTTGTTAAACCAAAATTTTGTATAATTTACCTTGGTAATAAGAAATTTACATTATAGTAGAGCTGACATGACATATGGAATACTCTAAAACTAATTTACGTGTTCTACACAAGTAACGTACTCTAATTTATTATTTAACATAAATAATAGATTTTTATTAATCATTTAATACAAAGTTTGAATTCTTTATAAACAATCGCCATTGAAGTAAAAACTTCTTAATTCAATTTTGGGTTGCTTAAATCTTTCATGTTAATTTGGACCCACATAAAATAACTTAGTTCATCCAATTTAGTTACTCCCATGCTCTAAGGCAAATCAAGTGTGAAATTGAATTATGTATCTAACACAGTAAAAGAAATTCAAACCAAGGGTAAAAATGCATCAAAAAGAAAATATCATACATAAAAGGAGGGGGAACCAAAACCAAAACTCCTAAGAAATCTTATATCTATGAGAAATGTCATGTGTATTCCTTAAGAAATTTACACTTATAAAATAATGATATGGTCAAACCAAGTGAATAATCTAGAGTCAAAACTACATGTTGTTAGCACAAGCATTATATTATTTAAATATGTTAGATACTATAAATTCATTGATTGTGTTATTTTGATGCAATCTAGCCATCTATTTTAAGGTGTCAAGGAACAAGATTGTGATTAGATAAGACTTGGACTATAAGCATGCAGTTGAATTTAAGAGAAAAAAATGGGACCAATTGTTTTTAGAAACAATCTCCACATCCATCATTGCTCTAATGAATTCATAACAAAGAGCATTACCATTGCCAATAAAGTTAGAGAAGCTACCACATGCTCACTTGATGAGTTGTAAGAGATTTCACCCCAAGCAGCTATAAAAAAGGTCTCAAAAACCATGTCATTCGAGTTTTCTTTGATCCATCCCAAAGGAGGAGGTTGCCAAAGCACATCAGTAATAATAGGAGGATCAGGAGAGTGAAATTTAATTGATAAGGCTTTATTAATGGAGAATTCCAACACTGGGATGCTTCAAATACGAGAGAAAGTATTGCTAGCCATGTTATGGGTGATGGGGGATCTACAAGCAATCCAAGAATCTTTGATGTTTTGGAATCCATAAATGTTTCTAGTTGACCAAATGCAATTGATTATGTGGATGATGGAAATAGAAATCAAAACTTGGTAGCTCTTGAACCAAGGCATGTTGATAATGCTCCAATAGTTTTCTATGGAAGAAATATGGGGATGAATATTGATAATAGAAGCAAACCATGACACCAGTTGAGAAGCAAATCTATAGTCAAACATAATACGATTAGTTGTTTCATTATGATTGAAATTCTGGTATGCAGATATTAGATGTCCTAAGAGATGTCGAGACACTAATATCTATTTAAAGCACAAGAACAAAATAAGACACAGTTAAAGGTATAGAAAATAACAAAACACAAAGAGTTGTTAAACCAGTTCGGTGTACAACAACACCTACGTATGGGGGCTACCAAGACAGGAAGGAAGTCCAATAAATAGTATCAGTTTGTAGATCTTCAGCAAACTATCTCCAGTCTACAATCTACTCATTTAATCACTACTCGTGCTTAACTTCAACCTAAGACTCACCTAGGTATGAGACCCCTCTCACTTCCCTTTCGATCACCACCGTGACATAATAATAATACTCTAGATGTTTTTAGAAGATACCCTTCAAAGACACACAATCACTCAATGCTTAAAAGTTTATGAGTGATTGACCGAACTTACAACTCAATAGAGACAATCCTACTCTGATATTAGAGAGGCTCACAAATAACACGAACACACAAACCTTAAAAGAATCACTTAACACAAAGTACGTTCCCCACAGAAAGTAGGGTTGTGCCATCCTATTTATAACCATTCGCTTGGACTGGATTTGGGCTTCAAAACAAACGCAACAAGGCAGTTGCTAAAAGTCTGCAGAATATTCTCCATAAAAATAGGTCTTCAATCAAGGGGTTTCCTAAAATGTCTTCAACATTTAGAAAAACAGAATATCTTTAAATTCAAATAGAATCTCTGATTTCTCAGTCTTGGACGCCACATAGGATTACTTAATATTCACAAAACATTTAGTAATTTGTAATTACACCAGTTGTATCCAAACTGCAGAATTGTAACAGACAAGATGTCGAGACTTCTTGTTAGGACATCTTGTTCAACATGTTGCTGCCAAGTTAGTTTTACCAAAATTACTGCCAATCACAAATACAGAGACTTAACAATCTCCCCATTTGGCAAATTTTGGCTAAAACAAACAAATAACCCTAGCACACAAACACCACAATCCAGTTTACACAGAACATAACATAGGTTTGAAAATACATCAAACACACACATATCAGAAGTATAACAGCAAAAAATAAAAAGTATATAGCCTCACACAATAAGTTCCTTTTCCAGCAGCTAGTGGTTAATGATTCTCCCCTTCAATAGCAGCCAACAGTTAGTTAGTGGTTAGTGGTTAGTGCACATAGATATTACTCCCCCTTTTTAGCCATAATATGACAAAGGTAAGCAGCTAACCAAAACAAGAAACCACATTAGTAGATAAGCACAAAAGGTATAGTAGCATAAATATCACATATGTGCTAAAAATATCCTGGGCTTTTAACCCTTACAAAAATCATAAACAACAACCAAACAAAAGCACTACAGGCAAATATCAGCTTTAGTGCCCTACTATTCTCCTTCTTTTTCATCTTTCACCCCTATTCATTTTCACCATCAAAATCATCATCATCAGATGCAACATTATCAGCAAACAATAACATCAGCAGATCCAACTTGCTTATCCTCTTCCTCCATCGAAGCTTTAATCAACTGCTCAAGCTTGATCTTCCTAGCAGTGCTAGTCCTGATAGAGTCATCTAATTCTCTGCATGTCTCTTTCATTTGAGCAATTATTCCTTCCTTAGAAGTTACAAGACCAGGTACCTGAGCAGATGTCATGACAATATCTGGAACATGTGTTCCAGCAAACAACTTGTAATGCAAAGACAATGGAGATTCCCTTTTCTTCACACTATCAGCTGCCAATAAAATACCAAGGTGCTAATTCATGATTATTCCACAGATAGTGAAGGAAAACAGATATGCATCTTCACAACCGATGAGAATGCTTGCTTCAGAATTTGATCAAATATGTATTCTCCAAAATCAAATGTCATCCTTGTACCAATAACATATATAAACTTCCCAAGGCCAGTAGAAAAGGTTGAGGTATAGTTTGTGGAAACCTAATTCACTCTACCGATACTATGAAGGATTGCATATTTTACACTAAGTTTTCCAGCCGACAGTTTACCCTTATTTGGCCAAGACTTCACCTGCTTACCAGCTATCTCCCTGCATACTTGATCATATGTGACTTCAAGCTCTGCTTGAGGTTCTTCAGATATGCCCAGAAAATTGTTGATTACAGCAGGAGAGAATGTCTCAACATTTCCCCTAACATATACTTTCATGTATTCCTTACTCTTCACACCATCACACCCCTCCGAGATATTTACAACAAACGTCTTGACTAATATTTCATAGCAAAGGCCAAATTTTATAATAGTTTTCATCAATCCAACAACTTCTATAAGCTCTAGAACTTCTTTACAATTTAGGGCATTCTTCCTTAATTCTCTTTCCAAGGTTATTCTTCTTTGGAACACATACTTCCATCTTTCCACATTCTTCACATAATGGAAAGACACATTATCTAGTGGTGCCTCAGGAACAACAACACATGTCTTCTTTGAAGCATATTTTCTGATGGGAGTGATGTCCTGGACATCCTCTTCAACTTCAAATTCAGAATCACTTGAGGAAACAACCTTTCTCTTCCTAGTGGGAGTAATACCTTTGCTCCATGGTTTAACGGGGCCAACTTGAGTTTTTCCTCTGGATCCTCTATCCATACCAACAGATTTTTCTTTAGAAGGAGAATTCTCAAACATCACAACCTTTCTCTTTCTTCTTTTAAGTCTCTTGTCAACACCAGGACTGAGACTTTTGATAACTTCATTATCAGAAGGCCAATTATCTACAGTAACAACTTCTTCAATAATATCATCCTTGGTCCCACCAGTGGGTTCAGGAACAGGGACACTTGTATCAGGATCCTTCACAGCAGAAGATGTTTCAACATTTGACACAACATTATTCCCAGCATCTTCAAGAACAAAATCAGCAAGCCTATGGAGATATTCACCCATAGATTTTTCCTCAAATGTCCCAAATTCTAAGGACCCAGTTTTCTTAGCCTCAGTAGAGCTAGAGACTTGAACAGTACTCACAGCAGATGGACCAGCCATAGTATTAACACTAGGTTGAACTTATGAGATCATAGCATTAATTCCAGGCACAACAAGATTTTGATTCCCATATAACACTTTGGTAACAATGTCTCTAATCTTCCTATCAACACCAAATCTTC